CAGCAGACAGGGCTGAAAGCCAAATCTGTTCCCAAAGGCTCATTCACAACAGCTGAAGGATGTTGTTTTGAAAAGAATGTTCAGGATAAAAAATAGGACTCTCTCAGGAAACATGGGAATCTTCCAGAATCTGTTTTCCCTTTTAACTTTTCCTATTGTTTTTTTCCCCTCTTTGCTCATTTGTTTCATCTCTCAGGCTGGAACTGAGAGTATAAACTCAGAAATTCACAGTGAGTTTGTGTTCTATTCAATTAAAACTCAGGTACTGTGCTCAGACAAAAGGTGAATAGTACAAAGCTGGCTTAATTTACATTAAAATATTCATAATGCTGTTAAGGTATATTCATAATGCTGAAAAAGCCAACACACTCCATGGTTTTGTTTGGCACTTGCTCTCAGAGTTTCTGCCATGCTGAACAATTGAAAATATCTGCTTATTTTTGTGGGTAAGAAAGAAAAGCCTTTCCTGTTGTTTCATTACTTAAAATTTTGGTAGCTGTTTTTTTACTTTGTCCATTTATCTCTCATGAAACCCAAAGAGAGCTCTTGCTCTCCATTCATTCTTCCAACACTGAAGTCTGGAGTTCCTTTGAAGTTTACTTTGGCATCTACTTCCTCAAGCAAGCACCTTAAAAAAAAAATCAAAGCTAAAAGTGGTACCCCACTCCAGACTCAACACATAAATTCAGATACCGATTTCTAGGAACAAAGATTTAGTGAAAAAACAAGACACTAAAGTTACAACAGAGCCTACAAAATCTAAGTTAGCTTTCATACTACCAATTCCATTAGTTGAGTTAGATAGACATTCAGTTACACAGCTCTTCTATTCAAGTCATTCCTTACTGCTGACAGCAGTTGAGGGAGGAACAATAATTTCAGGGAATACATAGGAAATAACAAATATTCCCTAAGTCACTGGCACTCAAAGAGGTCTAAAATTGTGACTGGGCATTTGCAATTATTCAAAAGACTGGTGGGAAGACCAACTCCACATCATCTTATAGTTCTAGGCTTTAAAAAACAAACAGACCAATCATATCCCCCCAACATATAATACTTTGCCCTACTACAGTTAAGGCACTGGATTGAGAGAAGGAAAATCTGTGTTCAATTTCTGGTTCTGCTATCAATTTCCCACATCATCATGGGCAAATCACTGAAGATGGAGAGCTCACACACACCACATTACCATGCATCAAGTGAGCCACACTAATAAGTCTGTTTGCACACATCTAGCACATGACAAATGCAATGTAATGACACTTAATTTAACTCAGAATGGAATAAAATCACATTAAATCACTTTACCTTGCATTTGTTGTGGATTAACAGTATGTAACAGTACATTAGGCTACAAAAGAGGCCTAATGATAAGTCTGCGCCCCTACGTTCAACACAACACTTAAGCATGCATGCAAGCATTTTTTTTTCAGTCCTTCATCTTTATTTCACTCATTCACCTATAAGCATCTATTCCTTTCTTGTCTATCTTTAATGTTTAGATTATAAATGGTTGAAGATGTTTTCATCATACCTAACACACAAGGGTCTGAGCCTCAGTTGAGGGGTTTAAGGACTTCCTATAATACAAAGAAATACTACAACTCTGACTATCAAAATTTGTATAAACTGAAGTTCCCTTCTTGGCAGAGAAGTGCACTGACTCAAACATTGGACTGCAGTCCCACCAAAGATGACAAGGGAAGGAGAGCTGGCACAAAGTGAGAACTATCATCTATACACTGATATGTCAATTAAAAATGTACTAGAAACAAGTGAAGTGAAGTTGCAGCTCAGGACATGTTAAGTATTTCCCTCTGAATTCTGAATTTAGGGGGCTGAGTTCTCTGTTTGGATCTGTCTTCTATTTTGTGAGAAGCAGACATTTCCCAAAGTACAGAATATAAAGAATTTGCATGTAGATTCAATTACTATCCAGAATGGAATATGCCCCCAAAGAAGCAAAAAGCTCTGAAAACACACCACAGCTAAAGATCTGGCCAACCTACTGCTGGCACTAGTCTGCACCAGCCTCTTGTGTTGGTGCAAATCTCTCCCATTTACAGTAGGACAATCTAGAACTGTCATTTCAGGATTGTTAACTTACTGCCTAATTGTTTCCCTGTCCACTAGACTGAGAAGTAGCTTTCATTCAATGTATTCATGACAACTTAGTAAGCATTTTCTTTGACAAGCAAAATGCACAATTAGTGTTTTAGAAGGCTTCCTTTTTAGTTCAAGGCTTTTCATCTGGCCAAATTCTGTAGTGTTCAAAATTAAATTCTGATACACATGGCCAAAATCCAACCCACTAGTAACACTAAAGTCAGTGGAGCTAAACTTCGCACAAAAATATCCTATATTCTGGACTTGGCTCTTGAAATTGAATTTTTTGACTAGTTCACCCTCTTTGAGTGCATATAGGAAAATTGGGGACACAAACTTCTTATATCTTTCTGAATACAGCCTCAATTCAACAGAAATTTTCCTGATGGCTTAAATATGAGCTATTAGTAAATCAGAGTAACTGCAGTTGCATTTGGTAATCCCAATTAATTGTTACACTGACGGGAAAGGCTGCTCTATCTTGACTTGCTTGGCAGCTTACAAAGTTGTCTCATCATGGTCGAGGATTTGTAAGGTATTTTTAAATGTAGTAATTCCATGACGCTTTCGTTTGAAGGTGGATTGGTTTGGTTAGGGTTTTTTTCCCTTTTAAATCAGATTCATACATATTCCAGGGATTCTGGGGGAAAAAGAATGGAGAAGAACATGTCCTCCAGTCTCCCAACACAGATTAATAGCAAAACGTCAAGTCCACTGCAACATGCTCTCAATTTAGAAAGTGCTGGTGCTATAAAGAGAAAGCCATTGATTATTCACCCTTGGTTTATAATACTCAAGAGCAAGTACAAAAAAGTAGCTTATTAAAAGAGAGAAACTGGGACTTCCGAGTCCGTAGAATTTAGGACATAATTCCAAAATCCATATATTTACAAGAGGCTCTATAATTCTAACATCTATGTGACCCAAACAGGAATGCTGCAGGATTTGGATTAAGAGCACCTGGGCAACCAAGTTGTGGCACAACAGTGGCTTGTGGCTATGTTCACATTTAATACATGTGTCTCCTGCAGAGGATGTAGGTCCTGGTCTGAGGTGGTCTGTCCTGCTCCAGCACTGTATTAACGATGGAGACAGCTGTTGTTTCACAGAATGCAAGTTTGGTGTGGGACTCGGGCTCTTCAGAGTGGCCTTTCTAGAAACATTCAGTACACATAGTAACTTAGTTTATCAAATCACTGCTTAAACCTTCGCTCATTAACCTTCACAACAATTGTGAGAAAACTTTTCACACACAGGAAATTAAGGAACAAATTCAGTGAGCTGTCTGTCCTATGTGACCTTGAGCATCAACAGCAGAACCATAATTATAACTCAGAGTATTCCTAACTCCTAACCCTGTGTTAATTAAACAACATTTATACCTGGATTTGGTACATAAAGACCTTGACAAGCTACATGGGAGGAGAGGGAGGGCCAAGGACAGACATTATTTCTGCACAAGTGGTATTTTCAGATTAAAAGGAACCTCCAACAGCCTAGAGCCCAGCTTCTTTCCATTTTGTATTATTTTTCAGAGATACGCTATTTGCAATTCCCATCTCTTATAGCAGACACCTTCTTCTTTGGAAAAGAAAGGAGTAAAACTGGCTTTTGCAAACATGACTAGAGGCAGACCAGGAGAGCACAACTGTTGCCAAAAAGCCCAGATCACTGAGAATACAGTACCGCATAGGGAGGGATTAATGTCTTATTTACTGATTCTCATCTGCACACCTTTTGGACAGGTGGCTAAATTGCTCAAAAACCAGACAAAACGAGGGGATACAAAGTAACATACTAACTTCTTTAATAGAGTCCAATCCAATTAAACCAAAATCACTCTGTGAACCCCTGGGTTTATTCACACTAAACAAGTCAGTGGTACATAGTGTTATCCCGATAGCTGATCGTGTTTATACCCTAGGTCCCCACATGAAAAATGAGCACCAGTCAACCAGACTGCAATGGTATTTTTCCTTCCTTTTTTTTTCCTTTTTTTTTTTTTTTTCATAAAACTATTTCTTTCATAGACTTAAAACAATCAACTAGCCAAGTTATTAATTATGGTACATCTAAAAAAAAATTCATACTAACCCTAATGTGACTGCTGCTTTACGAGTGCTCTGTGTATCGCCTTAGACTGGCTTTTCAGTAGCAATTCACTACAACAGGTCCTAAAATAATAATAATAGAGAATTAAAAACCTGGCAGCAAGTTTAATGGTTAAAAGTAACAAAAACAACCTGTTCTGAATGGTGAATTTTTTCAGCAGTTCAGTCCTG